AAGTGGTTTGTTTCTATAGATGTTACATTCTTTGAGTCTCAATCCTACTTCTTGTCCTCTCTGGTGTCCTAGTCATCCCTTCAGGTGGAGCCTTGGTGTGAAGAGATTCCTGGATCTTTATTAGTTCCTGGAACATTACCGGTGGTTCAAAATGTAGAATGTGGACCAACTGTTGTTGGAAATATAGAATCTAATGCTCTTGAGGAAGGGCGAGTTTATGTCAGGGACAAAGACAGACATAAAGTTACTTGGATACAAGAGACCACTTCTGATCCTCCACTGTTATCTCCTTCTTCTGATGAGAGTCCAAGTAACTCTGAAACTCTTGTTCCTCCTGAGTATACTAATATTGATATTCTTGAGACTTCCGAGCATTCTGATCTTGATATTCCCATTATCAAACGGAAGGGGGTGAGGTCTTGTACTCAACATCCTATCTCTAATTTTGTGTTCTACTCTAATTTATCTCTTTCTTATAAAGCTTTTGTGTCCAGAGTTTCTTCTGTTAGTATACCTAATCATTTTCAGGATGCTCTTGCTACTCTTGAGTGGAAACATGCCATGATAGAAGAGATGAGAGCACTCCGTAAGAATGACACTTGGGAATTGACTGAGTTACCTAAGGGCAACGACCTGTGGGATGCAAGTGGGTGTATACTATGAAGCACAAAGCAGATGGTTCAATTGAGCGTTACAAGGCTAGACTTGTGGCAAAGGGCTTTACTCAGACTTATAGTGTAGACTATCAATAGACATTTGCACTGGTGGCTAAGATGAATTCAGTCAGGGTACTCCTTTCTTTTGTAACTAATCCAGATTGGCCACTTCACCAGTTTGATGTGAAAAATGCGTTTTTACATGGTGATCTAGAAGAAGAGGTGATATGGACATTCCTCCTGGCTTTGAAGACCTTAAAACAAAGGGTAAGGTGTGCAAGTTTTGGAAATCATTATATGGTCTCAAATAGTCCCCAAGAGCTTGGTTTGAGAGATTTACTCAGGCAATGCTTAGATATGGATTCAAATTGAGTCAAGTTGACCACACTTTATTTGTTAAGCATTCCTTACATGATAAGACTACAGCGCTCATTGTATATTTGGATGACATAGTACTTGCCGGAGATGATGTTGAAGGAATTCTTCGGTTGAAGGAGCATTTGGGTGGGGAGTTTGAAATCAAAGACTTGGGAAGCTTGAAGTATTTCTTAGGTATTGAGGTTGCTCGGTCCAAAGATGGAATGTTCATCTGTCAAAAGAAATATGTGCTTGATCTGCTAAAGGAGACTGGGATGCTTGGAAGTAAAGCTTGTGATATGCCACTAGAGCCAAACCAGAAACTTAGTGATGATAGTGGAAGGAGCGGTTGTTGATAGAGGGAGCTATCAGAGACTAGTGGGTAAACTTATTTACTTATCTCATTTTTGTCCTGATATTGCTATTGCAGTTAGTATAGTTAGCCACTTTATGCATGCTCTTCATGCAATACACTTTGAGGCAGTTATGAGAATTCTGATATACTTAAAATCCTCTCCTGGAAAGGGACTCTATTTTTCCAAATATGATCATTTTAGTGCAGAGGTTTATATGGATGTTAATTGGGCAGGATTAGTAACTGATAGGAGATCTACTTTGGGGCATTGTACCTTTGTTGGAGGAAATCTAGTTACTTGGAGCAAGAAACAGAACGTGGTTGCCAGGTCTAGTACAGAAGCTGAGTTTAGAGCCATGGCCAAGGTGTGTGATCTCTTGTGGATCAAGTTGTTGTTGAGTGATTTGGGCATTAACCAGATGGATTCCCTGTGACTATATTGTGATAATAAGGCTGCTATCAACATAGCTTACAATCTTGTTCAACACGGTAGGACAAAGCATGTTGAGATTGATCAACAATTTATCAAGGAGAAACTTACTAGTGGTACAATATGTACTAGATTTGTGAAGTCTGGTGAACAACTCGCTGATATTCTCACCAAGGGGGTTGGGAGTAAACCGTTTCATGACATCCTTAGCAAGCTGGGTATGAGAGATATCTTTGCACTATCTTAAGAGGGAGTGTTAGAATAATATAATGTTATATTTATTTGTTTTATTTATCTTAGTTGTAATTAGCTGGTCCCTGATTTTATGCCTTAGGGCTTTCTTGTAATTAAATTATTTTTGATTAATATAAAAGGGAATGAGATCATTCCATTCCCTAACTTTTAGTCTCCCTAAATCGATCATCATATGGGTCTTGAAATCTAAGAAATGGCTGCTACTGAGTGCTGAGTTGGGATGTTAGTTTCTAATCTTTAATTTGTACCTTGCTTAAACTATGTGCATGCACACAACATTTATAGGCCAAGTGTTGATTTACCTTTAGAACGAAGAGGTCTACGTGTGGTTCGGGAAAAGATGGCCAGTACTTAAATGGGCTTTGTCCTAAAAGATTTTTTCTGCAGCTGCTCTACTCTAGAGAAGAGGTCTCCTCTTTTGTTGTTCATAAGGAGATGGGGCCTGAAGCATTATAGTCCAAGGTGAGATTCTCTCTTCTCCTGTGCTGGTGGTGTAGCATTGTTAGGCTGTCTATTTCTAGGAAGGAAGGAAAACAAGCTGCAGAATCACCAATGGTGAGGTTGAGCCCTAGTGATGACCAAGGAGATTATTGAGGGAGCATAGAGGAGTGTCTTTAGGATCTAGGGTAGCTTCAGGGGAAGGAATTGCAGAAAAGGGGAAAATTTTAGGGGAGGGTCAGAGGCTATTTCATGGGTTGAAGAAGTTATTAGGAGGGGAGAATCTAGTCAATTCCAACTGTCTGAAGGGGAATCTCATGGTGAGTTGGATGTAGCATCCCTTGACAGTGAAGGGAAGAGTCTTGGCAGTAACAAATTTAAGGAGCTAGCCCTTTTTAATTCTGAGGTTAGTTCTTTTTTCCGATATGTAGTGACTTCATGCTAATGTGAGGAGGAACTATTGGCCTGTGGTCCCAGCCATGCATCAGCTGGGAGTAGGTGATTTTGGAGTACTCTATGGTAAGTTATTGCAAATGAAGATGGAAAAGTGGTTAGAGAGTTCCCGATAATTTGTATTGGAAAGACAGATCCTTGATGTAGTCTTGGTGGCTAATATGTCACGATCCTATCCCACCCTAAACTGAGATGGAGTAGTGATCGTCTAGTAGTCATAGATTACCGAAGGTCTAATTGAACAAACATGTCATACTCCGGTAAAATTTGTTTAGATAGCAAAAGCTCTCAATTCCTTTAACCTGTTTATTCGGCAACATCCATTCACAGCAGGTGCATAAATAAATGAAATGAAAAATATTTTCTGTTGCAATCATCTTGGCTTAGTCACAAAAGGAGTACAACTTCAATGGAAAGAAAAGTACGTCTTATCATTCAAAACCAACTATGTACAGTGATCATGACATTACATTCCTTCTTTAGAAGGACCACATGATGTAGTCAAAATACAAATCAAAGATCAAATTAAGAGAGAGAAGACAAATCCCCAATCTAGGGGTAACCTCTAAGGTGAGAGAGAAACTAGAGCACTTTGTACAATCAATTCTATATTCTTTTAATCAAAAACTTGTACAATGACCATTAAGCCACCTATTTATAGATCACAACTAATAGGACACTCAACCCACTGAGTGAAAATTTACTTACAAACTCATTTTGACTCTTAACCAATATTAAATTATAAATTTGGAGAGGAGTGCTTGAGTCAAAACGGTTTAAAATTAGTAGAAATAAACTAAATATATGAAATGCAACTTTAACAACAATAGAGGTGGAAATAATGGAGAAATGAAGATTGAAATTTAGGAAATAGTAAACATTTTCATCAGTTACGTTTGATTAATAAGCATGTTGAGATTGGAGATGGTGTGATTCATAGAATGGAAGTAGGTTGCCTCAAGTGGATGAGTGTGTGTGGCATATTATGTGATTGGCGAATACCAACAAAATTAAAAGGAAAATTTTATAGACTAGCTATAAGACCAACGATGCTTTACGGGACTGAATGTTGAGCTACTAAGAAACATATGTATAAATTGAGTGCAGCTGAGATGGAATGCTTAGATGGATGTGTGGTAGAAAAGATAGAATTAGAAATGAATATATTCGTGAAATGTTGGGTGTAACACCTATTGAGAAGATAAATTGAAAGAGAACATGTTAAGATGATTTTGTCATGTACAACAAAGACCTATAGATGCAATAGGAAGGAAGAGTAGGATCTGATGTAGAAGAATAAATACCTTCAGTGTATGATTAGGTGGCCTATTAGTTGTAGTCTATAAACAGGTGATGTAATACCATTATACTTAGTTTTTTTTTTTGTTTTTTTATTAAGAATAGGCACATTGATTGGAGCAGAGCTTTGGTTTCTCTCTCTAGCCTTTAGTGGTTTACCCCTAATTGGGAATTTGTCTTCTCCCTCTCAAATTGATATTGATTTGCATTTTGAATGCATTAGGTTAGAATCACTATAAATGGGGTTGTTAGGGAGAGGGGAAGACCTAAGTTGACATGGGATGTAGTTGTAAATAAAATATGAATTTATTTAATTTTACTGATCATATAGCCCTTAATATAGTAGAATGGCAAAAAATGATTCATGTAACCAACCCCACTTGATTGGGACACAAGGCTTAGTTTGGTTTGGCTCATTTTGACACTTAACCTATTTATTCTACTACATCACTAAAGCATATAGATCTTTACATCATATATACACATACAAAATCTGGAACATGAAGCCTTCAATCACTTTTTCTAGCTACATACATTTAGGGCCAGAATTCAAACTATTGTGGAACTATCATATATTGACTTGTTATCAATGTATTACGCATGGCTATTATTGTAAATAAACAAGTTACTTCTTTTCTTACATATGTGAATATTTTGATTGGAAAAAAAATATTAATTCAAAGACAAAATCTTCTTGATATTTGACGCTTCAGTGTTTTAACAGAGCATTATTTGATATTCATGCTGATCATTACAGGTACTGTCTCGGCCATCTGCTTGCTTACTTAAGCCAGTCCCCAATATGTCTCCAACTTCTGATGATGGAGCCAGTCTTCTTAGTTTCAAGAGAAAAGACCTAATTTGGGTACTAATAATTTTTCTTTGCATCACGAAGGGCATCATATTATAACTGAATATTTGTATTGAAATACTGTCCATCAATTCTTCTTCTTTTTTTTTTTCCTGAGGTTTTACTTATAATTTGTTTCATCCCACAGGTGTGCCCACAGGCAACAGATGTGATTGAGCTTTTTATCTATCTTGGGGAGCCTTGCCATGTCTGTCAACTTCTTCTTACAATTTCGCATGGTTCAGATGATTCGACTTTTCCGTCAACAGTTGATGTACGGACAGGACGCAATTTGGATGGGCTTAAAATTGTTGTTGAGGTTTGATTTCTTTCTTTCATCTTCTTTATTTATTTATTTTTTGTGAATAAGTTGGACATTAGTTCCACACTTGCACTTCAGAATTATTATATGTTGTGACAGAGAAATTGGTATTGCTTATTCAGTTCTTTACGAGGATTAACCATAGTGTGTTGCTGGGAGTTTACGTCGTAATTTTTACAAGAATTTTATTGGTAGGTCTTGGATTCTTAAATTTTGGTCACTCTCTCTTTTTTTTTTTTCAAATTTATTAACGTTGGGCTTTTTTTATTTTATTTTAAATTTATGTTTTGATCAGAAATGAAGATACTGCACAAATCTAGAGAGATATCCCACATAGATGGAAAATGAAATGCTAGTTTGGTACATTAAGAGTCAGGTGGACTGCTACTCAGTAGACCCACTCCATTTAATTTGCTGGGCTAGCAGGTTGCTATGGCATTAGTAATGGTATGAGAGCCAACCCTGGTCTTGTAAACAACATTGTGGTGGTGCATTAGAGGAGCTGAGGCTCTTGAGGGGGTTAGAGGCCTTGGGGTAGTATACCTTGTGCTGCATATGGGCTTCTTTGTGGTCAATTATGACCTATTTGGCCATGGGCTTCAGTAACACGACGAGGACGCCACACATTTGAGTGAGAGATATAGTGTATCCTACATTAATGGAAATGAAATGTTAGTCTATGATAATCTTTATTAGTAATTTGGTGTGATTCTATAAAAGAAAGGATGCTCCGAGCTTAATGGAATGCTCTCTGGGGAACATGAGGGCCCTTGCCGGAGAATTCTCTTCCGAGGAGGTCGTTCTTTTGAGCTTACAAAGGAGGCGGAAGATCAGATTGGGCTTTGTCACTTGGCTGTTGTGGAGCGAGGGCAGGGCCTTCGCAGAGCGGTTGTCCTTTGCAGCTATGAAGTCAGTTGGTTTTGTGCGAAGCTTTGTAAGTCATTGCGGGAACCAGGTCGTTTGGCCTATTTAGGACTTTTCATCGGTGGTTGCCGAAGTGTGGCAACATAGGTTCAAGGGGAGGAGGATGGGGCCTCTTCGGTCCAAATTGTGGCTACAACCGGTAACAAAAGAGAACAAATCTTTAAACTAGAATCTGGTTTTGGGGATGGATGAGAGGGGTTTGCTCTGGTTATGGAGGGTTTTACCTTTGGGAATGGATGGGTTAAACATAAGAAGAGACTGGGAAGTATGGGCGGTTCGAAAGAGGTGCCGTTGGTGGGAAGAGCACCTTTTCGGAGTGGGGATGAGGGAGATGTGGTGGTAAAGGGGAGAGAAGAAGGAGGTGGTTTCTGAGGTTGGACAAAGCTCTGGAGGGGAGGGTGGGGCGCGTGGGAGAAAAGGGTTTGGAAGTACCGATTGTCTTTGATTGGGTGCACCGCTGGTGGAAGTCGTCAGGGAAAGTGGAGGTTCTCGGTATTGGTGGTCAGTTTGTCCTGTTCGTATTCTAGTCGAGACACAAGGCTAAGGTGGTGTTACGTCACAGGTGGACCATTGCTGGCCAGGATCTGATTCTCAACTAGTGGACACATGTGGCGCTTTGTGGCAACCGTAGTGCTCCGAATTCGCCCCAAAGCAATTGGATTAAGGTGTTGGGCCTCCTAATTCACCTCCGAGGTCCTGTGGTGTATCGTGCCATCAGAAGTAGATGTAGAGGCTTTGTAGAGGTAGATGAGTTGATGGACCAGTTAGGTTGTGTTAGAATGAAAGTTCGAGATTTGGCCGGCAGAATCCTTTCATGAGTCTTAGTTCGATGGGGGCTATGGCGTTACTCTCTCTTTATTTGGTCGGAAGCAAGGCCGATGGTGGAGTCGGTGGCGTCGTCGGTTGAGCAGTGGCGTGGGTTTTTGAAAAAGGAAGGTGCTGGGCTGGAGCACCATGATCGGCAGGGATGGTGGAGGCAAAGGAACTTTCCAAATCCACAAAGATTTGGGAAAGATAATGTGCCTGGTCAACAGGTAAACCCTTTAAAGGGTGTAACAAATCATGTTTGGAGGCCTCGTCATTAGCAGCATACAAGGCTGGGTCTAGTGGGCCAAAGATAAAAGACTTGGGCTCAAGATAGGGTAAATGGGCCAAAAATGGGGGGAGATTTTTTAGGCTCCTCTAAAGCAGGTATTTTTGATGTATCAGGAGACTCTAATTTGGCCCATGACTCTAGGGTTCGGTTAGGGTACAAGCAATCTAATCCACCTGCCCAGAAGTCAGGTTAGGAGCTTAACCCGTTAGTTCAACGGGTTTTCGAGGTTTTGCGTTGAGGCGTGGGCTCACGATTGACGATTGAGACACTGGTGGCTTCACTATCTGCAACGAATGAGTAGGGGCCTCTGGGGACAAAGGCTGACATCTCCACGGAGAGGTATTTTAGTCCCACTACTGTTTCTTCTCATCACGATTCGAAATTGGAGTTGGACAGAGACTTGTTGCCATTTTTTCAAAATCGAAGCTTGGTTCTGATGTCTGACAAGTGAGACAAGGAGAGGGATTTGTGGGGCCGACGTGAGGCTTCTGGGCCAGATTTGAACAGTGGTGAAAGTGGGCAATAGGTTGATATGTGTGAGAATTTGCCTCTAGTTTTGTGCCCGTTAGCTGTGGATTCAGGGGAGCTTTATGAGAACGATCATAATGGGACTATTAGAGAGCCGTTGGCTCGTTTTGGAGGGGGATGAACCTCCTTTTCTCTGGGTGAGGTGTCTGAATAGGTTTTATCTTAGATTAACTAGGTTAGTAAGATGCTTGGCGTGTCATTTGAAGGGTATAAGGAACAAGCCATGAAGCTAGTTTCTGCAATTGAGGTATCTTAGAGAGGGGGTGGCTCTTTGGGTAAGGAGGTTCAGGTTGTGGGTCAGAAGGGAAAGGGGGCTAGGGAACTGAGAAATCTGGAGTGCACAACCAATTATAACAAACACCTGAAAGAAGGAGGTCGGGCTTTGAGAAAGGGTCGTGGTGATCAACTATTGTTGCTATGCGGTTAAAATTTTTATGCTGGAACGTGCGCGGTTTGAATGATAAGGGGAAGAGGGTTTTGATTCATTCTCTTCTAAAGAGAGTGAAGGCGGATGTAGTGTGTTTTCAGGAGACAAAAATGGAATGCATTGATGAGGAGGCGGTCTAAAAGACACGAGGGGGAGTCGTTTTGTGGAGTGGACATATTTGTCGGCTATTGGGGCAGCCAAAGGGGTTCTAGTGGGTTAGGATCGAAGGGTGGTGGTGAAGGAGGAGGAGATAGGTGGCTTTTCGCTGTCATGCCTATTTCGTTGTGTTGAGGATGATTTTTAGTGGGTGTTCATAGGAGTGTATGGACCGGTCAGGCGATTAGAGCAGGATCTTTTTTTTTAGAGAAGTTGCAGAGCATTACTTATCGATGGGCGGCTCCGTGGTGTGTAGGTGGTGATTTTAATGTGGTGCGGCGGCCGGAGGAGAAGTTAGGGTTGACTCCTTCAGTGGGTTCGATGTAAGCTGTCTCTTCTTTTATTAATGAGTTGGAGATGATAGATTTACCAATGCTGGGAGGGAGTTATATGTGGTATGGGGTACGACTGTTCTCTTCATTCGACCGTTTTTTGATCTCTGGGGACTGGGAGGAATATTTTTCTCAGGTGGTTCAGTTGAGACTATCACGTCCTATTTATGATCACTGGCCTGTTCTATTAGACAGTTGGGGGAGGGGGGGATTCGGAGTGTCGCGATGCCTTTTCAGTTTGAGAATATGTAGCTGTAGTCAGAAGGTTTTGTGGACAAAGTTCGGACCTAGTGGGAGGGTTATATTTTGTCAAGAGATCCTAGTGGGCGGCTGGCCTAGAAATTGAAGCTTCTTAAGGTATATCTGAGAAGATGGAATAAGGACGTATTTGGTTATGTGGAGATTTAGAAGGCAAATCTTTTAGCTATGTTACAGGGTCTGGATGTGAAGGAAGTTAAGGAGGGTTTATTGGAGGAGGACTTAGTAGCTCAGGCAAAGGCTAGGAAGGAGTATGGTCATGTAGCTTGCATGGAGGAGATTAGTTATTGTTAGTGATCCAAATGTTTGTGGTTGAAAGATGGGGACTAGAACACAGTTTTTTCACCATATAGCGAATGCTCATCAGCGGGCTAGTCAAATAGGGAAGCTGCGAGTCAATGGCGTGGTTTTATCTTCAGAGGAGGAGGTGAAGGGAGGCATAGTTAATTTTTATCAGCATTTATTTTGGGAGGATAGAGGTGACTGGAGACCGGGTTTGGATGGGGTTCAGTTTGATGTCATTTCGGAGGCGGATAGGTAGATGCTGGAGAGACTGTTTTTAGAAGAGGAGGTGCTAGCGGCATTGCAGAGTATACCTGGGGACAAGGCGCCAGGGCCTGATGGTTTCACTTTGCTTTTCTTTCAGCAGTGTTGGGGAGTGGTGAAGGCAGAGGTGATGGCTATGTTCGAGCAGTTCCATTAGAGGGGGCAGTTTGAGAGGAGTCTTAATGCACCTCTTATTGGTTTGATTCCAAAGAAAGCAGGGGCAGAGGATATCCGAGACTTTTGACCTATTAGTTTGCTGGGGAGTGCGTACAAGCGCTTCCCAAAAGTTTTGGCTAATAGGTTGCGGGGCGTTTTGGAGGGAGTGGTGTCAGAGTCTTAGAATGCTTTTGTGGGTGGGCATCAGATATTGGATACTGTTTTGGTGGCTAACGAGTGTGTTGATTCGCGGATTCGGCAAGGGCAAGCAGGTATTATTTGTAATTTAGATATTGAAAAGGCGTATGATAATATGAGTTCAAAGTTTTTGTTATATGTACTGGAAAGGATAGGCTTTGGGAAGTTGTGGAGGAAATGGATTTAGTTTTGCATCTCTACAGTTCAGATGTTGGTTTTGGTGAATGTGACACCAGAAGGTTTTTTCCCTACCTATAAGGGTTTGCAGTAGGGAAATCATGGGTGTGTTTGGTTTGTGTTTTGAAACATGTTTTTGGAAGAAAATTTCTAAAAACATGTTTGATTACAAATTCTCTTAAAAAAATTTCAAAATTACTTCTCTCTCTATTACACATCAATCAATCACTTTTTTTCTCTCCTCTCTTCTTCTCAATCACTTTTTTTCTCACACATATCTATTCAATTATAACAAAATATTAAATCATCCCAAACTCCCAAACCCCAAAATTATTTTCAAAATATACAACCAAACAAACCAAAAAAAAATTCTAAACTCTATTCCCAAATTTTTAAAATTTTTTTTTTATCTCAAAACACAAACCAAACACACCTCATTTGTCTCCTTTGTTGTTTATTCTAGTGATGGAGGCTTTGAGTCGCTTGCTATCCATTGCGGTTCATAGAGGTTTGTTGGCGGGCTTTGAGGTAGGTAGGGAGCAGACTTCTAGTTTGGTGGTATCTCATTTGTTTTATGTTGACGATGCCCTTATTTTTTGTGGGGCGGATGCTCGTCAGATCAGGTACTTGAGGTGTGTTCTTTTATGTTTTGAGGCAACATTGGGGCTCCGGCTAAATTTGGGCAAGTCGGAGATGATTCCAATTGGGGAGGTGGAGCGATTACCGGTTCTGGTAGCTATTTTGGGGTGCAAAGGGGCAGCTTTGCCCATTTCTTATTTGGGCTGACCTTTGGGTGCTTCTTTTGAGGAGAAGAGGGTGTGGGATGGAATGCTGGATCGGGTGTAGCGGCGTTTGGTGGGTTCAAAGCGTCAATGTTTATCGAAAGGAGGGAGAATCACACTAATCAAGAGTGTCATATCTAGTATCTCGACTTATTTCATGTCGGTCCATGTGATTCCTGTGTCAGTTGCGAAGAGGTTGGAGAAATTGCAATGGGATTTCGTATGGGGAGGGGTTGAAGAGACTTTTCATTATCACTTAGTAGCTTGGGACTGGATTTATGTTCCCAAGGCTAGGGGGGTTGGGGGTTAGGGATTCGAGGCTCAGTATTATTTAATTTCGCTCTTCAGGGGAAGTGGTCGTGGCGGTTTGCGGTGGAGAAGGAGCGGTTGTGGAGGAAAGTGGTGGGGGCAAAGTATGGGTTGGGATGGGAAAAGTGGTGTATAGGTGAGGTGAAGCAGTCACATGGGCGAAGTTTGTGGGAGGGGATATGGTTAGGTCAGGAGGAGTTTTGGAAGAGGGTTTGTTTTCGGGTTCAGGTCTGGTTTTGGAAGGATAGGTGGTGTGGAGCAGAAACTCTAGCGGCGAGGTTTCTTTTGATTTTGTCGTATTGCTCTTGATGGGGAGGCGACGGTGGCATCTTATGCGCATGTGCAAGAGTAGGTGGTAGTCTGGAATGTTGGCTTCCGTCGTGAGGTGTAGGATTGGGAGTTGGGGCAACTGGTAGATTTGTTGGGTTTTTTGTATGGCCTTCGGTTTGGGGAGGAAGGGAAGGATATGCAAAGGGGTTTTTTCGGTGTCCACTTTTTATCATTTGCTTGTGGGAGGGGATGGTGCTCTTTTTTCTTGGAAAAGTGTTTGGGTGCTAGGATGTCCGCCCAAAGTCACTTTCTTTGTGTGGACAGTGGCTTGAGGGCGTATTTTGACTATTGATAACTTGACTCGTCGTCGTCATATTTTAGTTAATTGGTGTTGCTCGTGTTGTGGGGATGTGGAAACAGTGGACCATCTGCTTATCCATTGCTTGGTTGCTTCACGTCTGTGGATGTCTATTGTTGCTCTTTTTGGTCTGGTTTGGGTTCAACCAAGGTCAACAGTGGAGATGTCGCAGAGTTGGGTTGGGGGAAGGATTGGGAAGAGATGTCGGAAGGCATGGCTGCTTGCGGGCCATTGTTTGATGTGGTTGGAGCAGAATAGGCATACCTTTACGGGTGTGACTCGGTCAGTTCCATGGTTGGAACGGCATTTGCTTACTATGCTACATAGTTGGATTGCCGTTTCAGTGTGCTGACTTTTGTAGATTTTGTAGATAATTTGATTAGTTAGTTGTTTTGGTTTTGCTTTCTTTTTGGGTAGCTTGTTAGCTAGCCCTTTAGTTGGTTTTTGTATTCGTTGCATCGCCTTGATGCTTTATCAATAAAGTTTGATTATTTATCAAAAAAGAAAAGAAAAGAAAAGAGAAGAGAAGAAAATGAAATGTTAGTCTAGTATATTATTAAGAATCTATCTGTTAGACTACATTTAGCAACTTGGGCTTAAGCATTTAGGGTCATGTTGTTAGACCCAGTTCATTGAAGTTGTTGGGCCAATAGGCTACTTGGGGCGTTACATAAGAGGCCTGTTTATATATAGAAAATAAGTAATAAAGAAATAAAATCCTACTAAAACCATGACTTATAATTATACTAAAATTCCTATATTCTTCAATTTAATGTCATCCAATGCCTTTTTGATCCCCATCAAGATGTCATTTACTTGGTGCTTCCATTATCAAAATATGGCTTGCTGTTTAGTGTTATCACTTTGCTCTTAGTTACTCATCATTTTCCAAGTGGGAACTTGTTAGTCCAACACAAAACCATTTACATCTACATGTGTGAATTACTATACTAGTTTCTAAGCAGGGTTATATTTGTTGACCGGGATCTGTGTGTGCGTGCTTGCATGTGTGAATTACTCTGCTAGTTTCTGACCAGAGTGGATTTCTGTTGACAGGGTGCTTCTATACCTCAATGTGCAAATGGCACGAACATGCTGATACCTTTACCAGGACCAATTAGTGCAGAGGATATGGCTGTCACTGGAGCAGGTTCACGCTTCCATTCTCAGGATACTTCTAGTCTTGCATTGTTATATGATTATGAAGAACTGGAGGGAGAGTTAGACTTTCTTACTCGAGTTGTCGCACTTACCTTTTATCCTGGCGCGACTGGAACAACCCTGTTAACTCTTGGTGAGGTACAAAGAATTTTTTAAAGTATGTCACATGATTCATCTGTTTGTTCTTGTTTAATTATATTAGCTGCTTATGGAGAGTCTCTTTTCCACTCACATATTTGATGATTGCTAGGTACTTATCAACAAAATATGTGTATATATATTTGATGATTGCTTGGTTATATAGAAGAGATGCAACGTGTGGTTTCAAGAGATTTACAGTGCAACAACTGGATTCTTTGATATTCTTCAAAAGATCCAAGTATTGTTAATTAGGAATTTAGTTTACCTAAGCCGGACGGATATGGACATGGGGCCATTGGACATGGATACGACACTATACGGACTCAACAATTTTTGAAAATATAGGATTAGGCACAGGAAGTCCACAACAATAAGTAAATAAATATTTATATACATACATGAAAATAATAATAATTTCATCAAATTTTTTGTTGTTGTTACAAATACATTTATATTTTTTGCTATATTTAAATAGTTATCATTTTTCGCATTCTATTTATTGGAAAAGAAGTGTGAACATAAGAGTTATTATTCATTTCATATAGTTCTATTTAATATTTATAAACAAATTAGAAGATTTAGGCTTTAGAGTTCTTAAAATTAGGAAAACATGAAGGAGGTGAAATTAATAGGTATAAATCTACTCAATTTGAATCATTAGCTCTCAATAGTATTATAATTTAAAAAAATAATTAGAAAAAAAGAATTTGCAGTGTGTTTTATGTGAATCTAAGCGATGGATGTATATGTCCCCCAAACCCAAGTGTCTCAATTGTGTTTGGTTGTAAATTTGTTTTTGTTTTCTAAATAGTAGGAAAAAGTTGGATATGTGTCTCACACACGTTGGGAGCAGTCGGACGAGTCTTTTGTCCAATACAGACAAGCCACCTTAGAAGTATCTGTGCTTCTAGCTGTGCACCCATAAATGTTTCGTGAACAATTTTTTGGTTGAATGAGTATGTAGGAATAGTAGAGCAAGAGGTGATTGATGAAATTCTAAATCTTTGTCAATGTAATAAGACTTGAACAACCCTTTCTGATGAGTGTATTTCAAATGACCCTGTAATTGCTCTGTCTTTGAAAATGCTTGTCCAGTGTTATTAAAGGTGATAGGCGCACTAAGGCACCAAGGTCTCCTGGGGCCAAGGCGAGGCGCATCCTACACCGAAGTGAGGCGCATCTTGTATGAAAAAAAAAATTATAATTTAATATAAGTAACTAGTTTAGGGTTCAATATAAACAAAATGAAATGTTAAATATTTAGTGTTCTTCGGAGATTAGGAATTAGGGTTAATTTTTTTTCTATCATTGATTTGGGATTGAATGCTCAATATATTGGCATCTCTAATAAGAGTAGAGATCTTCTGTAACTTCACTATATTAAATCAATGGTCAGATTTTAAACAAAACCAATTAAAGCAATAATAAAAAAAGCCCTCAAGACACAAGCCTTGGGCCTTATTGTGCCTTGGACCAGTCAGGAGCCTTATCGAAGTCACCTTGCTTGGAACACTACAAGGCGCAAGCTTTGGGCCTAGGCACACGCCTAGGCATGCCTTATAGAAGTCGCCTGGCCTGGAACACTACAAGGCGCAAACCTTGGGCCTGGATGGGACTTGGGCCTAGGAGCACGCCTAGGCACGCGTTTAATAACATTGTGCTAGGTCTAGTATCCTTTTCATTTCTTTTCTTCTTCTTCTTCTTCTTCTTCTTCTTCTTCTTCTTCTTCTTATTTTTTTATTTTTTTATTTTTTTCTTCACTCTGCCCTTTTTCCTTTATGGATAATGAAAATGTTAGTTTAATAAAAGGGAAAAAGTACCAAACCCAGGTGCATACTGGGTGTATACAAAGTGAAACCCTTCTAGAATGAAAGACTACTAATAAAATCTACGAATGAAGCAGAGTCTTGTATGTCCAAAGGAAAAGAATGCTAATCAAAGTGGGCTTTTACTTGTGAATTGTAAACTTGATATCCTTGAAGAATCACCTGTTCCTTTATTTATAATTGGCATCTCTAATAAGAGTAGAGATCTTTTGTGACTTCACTATATTAAATCAATGGTCAGATTTTAAACAAAACTAATTAAAGCAATAATAAAAAAAGCCCTCAAGACATAAGCCTTGGGCCTTATTGTGCCTTGGACTAGTCAGGAGCCTTATCGAAGTCGCCTTGCTTGGAACACTACAAGGCGCAAGCTTTGGGCCTAGGCACACGCCTAGGCATGCCTTATAGAAGTCGCCTGGCCTGGAACACTACAAGGCGCAAACCTTGGGCCTGGATGGGACTTGGGCCTAGGAGCACGCCTAGGCACGCGTTTAATAACATTGTGCTAGGTCTAGTATCCTTTTCATTTCTTTTCTTCTTCTTCTTCTTCTTCTTCTTCTTCTTCTTCTTCTTCTTATTTTTTTATTTTTTTATTTTTTTCTTCACTCTGCCCTTTTTCCTTTATGGATAATGAAAATGTTAGTTTAATAAAAGGGAAAAAGTACCAAACCCAGGTGCATACTGGGTGTATACAAAGTGAAACCCTTCTAGAATGAAAGACTACTAATAAAATCTACGAATGAAGCAGAGTCTTGTATGTCCAAAGGAAAAGAATGCTAATCCAAGTGGGCTTTTACTTGTGAATTGTAAACTTGATATCCTTGAAGAATCACCTGTTCCTTTATTTATAAACTCACCCAAGGTGAGCAGGCCCTCTTCGAAAGCTTTATTTTGAAGTAATTTTCGGCATCCTGGAAACTCAAATAGTAGTACGAGGTTCCATCATGTTTAATAGAACTGTGCATTTTAACAAGATTTTTTAAGGGCATGTTTGCAGTAATTTGTACGTGCAATTGCATGTCTTCGTGTAATCAAGGTTAGTGAAGCAAAAATTCTTGCTTTATTAGAGGGTTGAAGAGAGGCAGCATCTTTTTGGCCATATCAGCTGGTCGGAGGCTGATCTTCTATCTCTCCCTCTCAAGGTCAGTTTATAGAGGATAAGGACGGAAAGGAATAGCTGAGTGTCAGTCTTCTTTCCTTTGGGAGTTGTATGTTTAAAACTTCCTTCAGTGCTCTAAGGCCAGTGAGTGCTGTCTGATATAGGTTTTATTCCCTGTAAGAAAGCCTTTAAACTATAGTTTAGGTATCCTCAAACTAACTCCGTAAGGTAGCTTGCTATTACTCACAGACAGGATAGGGAAGCTCTAGAACAACCTAGCTACTCGGACCTAGAAAGCCTGGCTATGAGAAGAGCGCCGTAGGATCTATTCTCTAGAAGTTCATCCTCATCCAATCCCAGAGAAGTAAGAAAAACCTTATCTCACCTTGCAATACAGGAAAGGTGCATCTTTCTACCTGTTCATGAAATCCCACGTCCCCGCCCTTGTCTTTATTACCATCAATTGGTTATGCTCGGTCGGAGATAGCTGCTACTTACGTACACGGATTGGTGGTTTTGGAGACCAAATTGCCCTAGCTCCAGAAGAGGTTAGCCGTTGTAGATTCAAACCTTGATCTTCTCTTTTCTTTATGAAGCTAGGGCCGTTGTTATTGGAAGGTAGAAGCCTGCAGCTCAGGCCCTTGGTAATGTACTCAGTGCTATGTGTCCTGACCCCATCCACCTGAAACAAAGATAGGGTAGTGATCGGCCAGTAGCCATAGGCTACCAAAGGCCTAACTATACAATTCGATTTCTAAGAAGTATGGACACGGATACGTGACACGACGTGGACAGGGGCATGCAAATTTCAAAAAATGGACACAACACGTCACGTTGGGGACACGTGCAAAACATATAATTTTATATCTATTATATGCTATTATTTAAAATATTTAATATTTATTTTATGTCAAATATTTAATTTTATTAAATTTATTAATTTTAGGTATGCTGTTTTAGTAAAAAAAATTTTTAAAATGGTCCTTGGTGTGTCCTCAGCGTGTCTCCAACATGTCCACAGCGTGTCCCAACATGTTCGCAACATGTCCCAGTGTGTCCCCATATGTCCGACACGTGTTGGACACCTGTATGTCACCTCCGGAGAGGTGCCCATGCTTCATAGGTACTCCTGAAGAGAATTGAGATAAAGTCCTTATAAATAGCAGAAGTCTTTAAAATTCTTTAACCTGTTTAATCCCACAACATCCATTCAGAGAAAGTGCATAGATCAATGAAATGGATACAAACCACTGCTTCATTTAGTTACAATAGAGTACAACTTTAAAACAGAGCTACTGCATACATTTCATTTACCAAATTAACCATACTTGAGTTATTACAAAACATTTCTCCCAAGGAGAAGGCAAACATGTAGGTCCTTTATGTCTTATACACATATATACGAAGCTGACACAATCACTTTTGTCACCTACATACATATAGGGAGGAGAGGTGAGCCGAAGCCCAATGAATAGCATGTAATCAATGCTGTGAAAATTATCATTTATATGATAAAAACATAGTTGAACTGAGAGCTTAAACAGTTTGAGAACCAAATAGAGTTATATACATATCATTTCAAAAAATGATAATGAACATCCAACTGTTACTAACAAATGGAATAACCGGGTCGACTGCGGTTAGACAAACCCAATCATAGGTGGCAATGGAGATCACAGCAGCTGCTAGTACTATACTTTCTGTCCCCCAATAGCTGGGACTAGCCGAGGATTCCATGTGTATATTTATTTCGACATAACCATAGGATATTCATTAGTTTGAGACATTTCAATACAATTTGGATCAAACCAAGCTTTAAGCATTCAAAATAGAAGTTCAAATTGGCTTTGGGGAAATTCAACTCTCCTGAAGTCTTTCTAAGTGTGTAGTTCCAAATTAAATCAACCTACATCACATAATGCAATGCATGTTGGCACATAATTGTTAGATTTGCATAAGAGAAAGAAAAGAATGAAAAGAAGAAAATGAGAGAGAGAATGAATGAGTTTATTAACATATGCTAATCATATTAGGGTTCTCCCTTACACATATTTATAATAAAACGCTAAAGG